TAGTGGANGGGGGCGATGAATCCGATGTTTAAGGTGACGTACGCAAGTGTCACTATATTCGTCCCATTCCGATCTCTTTTCGCTCTCTCAGCGTACTCGGAACTCAACTAACTCAATAAGGAAGGAGTCCAGCTATTCGTTTCGGCCATGTGCCAGGCACCTTCGGTTAAGGCGCCAGCTTGTCGTATCTCAATCCTGGTTTATTCCAAGAAATAAGCGAAGTTGAATTTTTTTGGAAATTTAGTTTATTTTCTCTCAATTACTGTAAACGTTGTTTCCGTCGATTTCATCAAGTATCTCTCTTTAGTGCATATGCCAGGGCGACACGCCTGAGCGCACAATAGCGTTGGCCATCTTGGAGCACCTCCTACACGTGTTTTTCGACTTGCTGTGTCAAACCCCACGTAACTGTTCATTGTTCTCCTACTTTCCTAACTCTTTCGAGACGTATCCTGTAAGGAAATGCGCCAGGAGAACTATGGTCCCTAGGAAACTGACCAAAACGGACCGGCAGAACCAGAACATATTATTCCTTGTTATAGAAAGCTTATCTACTGGAATGGTGCGTATGCAAGGTTTAATCAGGCTCTGCCTTGTTCAAGCTGCCGACCAAAAAGCAGAATTTTGAAGCAACTCTTCCCAAACCCACAAACAGCAGGTTCACTACATTAGGTATTCGTTTCCAAAACAAGCGGGATCAGCACATGAAGGAGAGTCTCAAGATTGCATACGCTCTGAACAGGGCCGTTCTGTTAATTGGAAAGTAGTGAGGGAAGATTGATGCCTCTATCAACACAGGAGGAGGATGTGATGGGATCAAAGTACTGTTTTGCTTATACTTTTACTATGGTCCCAAGTATGGGAATAATCACACCATCAAGCTGAAGTTCAAGCTCATTTGGTTTCTCCAAAAGTCTTGTCAAAGGACCGTATAAGTTCAAGTTCATTTGGTTTCTCTAAAAATTTTGCCCAAGGACTTCACACGAATAAATTCGACCAGACAGAGCTTCCCCTTAGCTCCGGACCCCATAAAGTTTTAGTGACGTGCACCTTAGGGAGAATGGCATTCCCGTGCATTCTACCCCTAACCGGAGCATCTTCAGCAAATAATCGGTGAGTACGTAAGCACTCAAAACAGCTTAACGTACTTCTCCGGTTCATAGAGTTAAGTCTAATCACCCTCCAATCTACTAGCTCATCTTGACTACCCGAAGTCCTTCAGTGGCCTCCCGGGACCCTGTGGCGAACCATGTGACTGTTTTTTTAGGGGGCGGTCCTAATTATTCATAGGAATTCGCCATAGAAATTACTTATTTATTCGGCATCAAGTGGGGTTGGATGTGCCCCGGTGCCCGCCCTATATAACGTTGTTCGTCTTTAGATTATGTCAGTGGTTGGTCATGGCTTGAAGCATGGCCGACGTCGGCGACGAATGCCAATTGAAGCCATCTGCCAAGAGTGGGCGGGACCAAAGCTTTTGCCCTTGGTTGTTCCACTTTCGAATTCATTCATAGTTTCCTGTGTCTTACTCTCATTCCTGTCTTCTCAATTCACAATTTTCTCCCTCATCGAACAAACGCCTTCCGACACGTTCACTTTGTCTTCAGGGAGTCACAGTATAGGGGTACTTATCATTGAGTGTGTAGCATCCTTCTTCTCCCACATGGGTATAAGATTCACAAACATTTATGGCTTTCCGTTGTCCCTAAAACACATTAACCAACAGTCTGTAAACATTCACAATCCCGATATTCCCCTTTCATCATGTCTGTCTGCACCCTTGTCTGTCGTGATTGCTTCCAAGCCCATCTTGTCTTCAAGATAATTTCCTGATGTTCATAACACGACACTGTTTGTCTGTATCCACTTCATATACTAGTACATTCGTCAAAGAAACAACTTGATTAGATAAAAGTTCTGATACAGTAATCGAGTACTACAGTGTTTCAGTGATTGCTCGACATCGGGTTTCTCACATGCTGTTTTTTCTCACTCGTTGCGTGGTAGGTACTTTATTTCTTTTATCATGGAACCCTAAACCTCTTACTTTCTGCTTCATTTAATTTTGTTAGCAGGTTCAAAGATCAATGCGTTTCAGTTAGTAGTCGGACTCTCGCAGCTCGTCTGTAGTGAGCAAGATGCAACACATCCACCGCCAGCGTTGGATGACTTAGAAGGAAATGGATTCGGTGGCATGAAGAAGTTCTCAAGTAAGTTCGAATGAAGCTGAATTTCGATATCCATATATGCGCTAGGTCCACATGAGGCTTACTGAATTACTTCCCTAAATATTTGATTGAAATTTGACTCACACACTGAAAGAGGCTTCTTCAACCCATTTGAGAATCGGAGTCATAAAAGGTTCGTTACGAAAATGGGAGAAACTTCCGAATGCGCTTGAAGGTAGATGTAAATTAGTGGTTTCATGAGGGCTCCAAAAGATTCATGAAGGTGGTGACATTTTCTGGTCAATTTCCCTCTCAAAACTATCAAAGAAGAGAAAGCAGACAGAATAGATGGCATGGCGTGGTCTTACGTAGGCATGTACATACTCGTTTGGTATTATGCGTATCAAAGAAATGGAGGTATCGAAATTCCAGATCAACGTACTAGTAGCTCCCGAGAGAGCTAGCTTATTATTGATTATTTCCAATTGTTTCTTACACTGCTACACTGGTCCTGAAGGGAACAGAATCGACAGGACTGCAACTTGTCGGCCAAACGATCGAGGGTTTATACTTAAAGAATACTTAATATATTATACCTGAGAGAATTTTTCAGAAAAAGAACTGAACTCTATAAGATGGAGTGTACATCACAGTTTTTTTCCATCTACCTGCATTTACCGTTACTGCTGAAGATATGTCGAAGTAATAGATTTGAACTAAAGTCCTATTCGGGCTATTGGTCTCAAAAGTACTGACGCTTGTGCTCGACTGTGGGAAGCTCTTTGGTCCCACGGGATTTCATTTGGTTTTAAAAAGTACTGAGTCTCTTTAAACGACTGGCACTTGACTTCATCAAAGCCGCAGTCGTGAAGAGTGATCACTTGACGAGAAAAAGTGATGTGCTATCTGAATGAGGCTCTTTGCGGCCCTGTCCGGTGAAGCATTCCATCTTGTCGATGGACCTAATAGATATGAGATCGACTAGGTAATGAACCCGCTATTAAGTTATTCAATTTTACTCGTCGTAGCACTACTTTCAATCGTTCAGCGATCGATTGAAGTACGAAATATCACTAAATAGGGATTTAGGACGTGGCAAAATACCTGTCGTTAGCTTGAAACGCAATCGAATATGTGAATGAGTGGACCCACTTCGTCTGTGACTCCCACCAACGACAAAATACTTCAGCATCCTTTTGCATTATGTGCATAGAATCTCAATTCTTTTCATGTCTTTTATGCCGTCACACCATGGAAATAATGCGCCTCAGAGTCAAGAGGCGGCAAGTTAAGATGTCTAGCCAAGGTTTTGCTCTGCCAAGACAACTAGCTAGGAGTAGGTGTGCAATGAGCATAACGCCTCATACACATTGATTGTGGAAAAGTACATGATCAGCTGCTTAGAAAAGTCGTCCTCAGCTGTAGTTCCCTTAATGCTGCATATCTTGAGCCATATCATCTAGGTCAAGACTTCTCGCAATGCCAGCGCTATTTTTTTCATTCCGGTTCTTAATGACTACTATCTAAAAGTTATGATTCAGTACGACATTTTTGTGTAAGTTTTGCCATACCGTTTCTCTTCTTCTTCACATTCAGAATCTAGCAATCCCATTCTCTCTCCAGCTTTTTCTCCTAAATCCCGAGAGCCTTTAACTTGAAATTCATTAGCAGATACATCTTTGCCGAGTCTAAGAGAATATCGTAGAAGTGGAACGAGAAGGGATGTCGGAGAAGCCAGTGGTCGTTCCTTGACTTTATTTCCTTACTTGTTGGCTTGCTCAATGATCAGAAGCTCTCTTGGGCCGTCTATAGATGCCAAGAAACAGTTGAAACCAACACACTCGGTAAATGCCTATGAACTTTCCATATTTTTCCCTGCTGAAGATGAAATACATGTTTTGTCAGGAACTAAACAGGCAAGCATTGAGGTACTTCAGCAGCAGTTGGCTAAATGCACGTTTACAGCCCCCATCTTGAGTCATAGGCAGGGAATAGAGTGGTACAAATGGTTGTACTTTAAGCATTTTGCTGTCCTTCTTCTCAATTAGGTTTTATGGATAAGCTCTTCTTCCCGTATCGCGTCATCTGCACTTGAGAGAACTCAGTCCTGAGGTATTTCGAGGCAAACCTTGTGAATCTGAAGTGTGAATCTTTTCAGTCAAAGCACAAGCAAGTCCTTAGTGGAACAGTTGCCATTCCCTACTCCCCCCCCCCCCCCCCCTTTCCCTTAATTCGAAGTAACCATCGGAAAACTGAACCAAACTCTAATTCAGCGTCAATCGTTGAACTGCTAGCTCTTATGTTGGCCTCGTAATTGAGAATTGTTGCCGTCAGTAGAGGCCAGAACTGAAGAGAAAAGTGGATAAAGAAAAACCTCCCATTAAAGCTTCCCGGCTTTCCTCACATTCCTGACCAGTGCATGTACTTCTGTACCCAATGCTGGCACGTCGTACCACCGACAGGCTCTTAGAGTTCTAGAAGAATGAATGTCAATCGAGTCATACTCTGCTTCAGTATTAATATACCCTCTCGGAAACCTCAGGAACTGCTACTTTTTGTGGGCTAAACACGAGTAGAACAATATTCAGTCTCTCGGGTTTTCGGGATTGAAGGTCAAAGTGTTGAAGGAAACTTTTCCCGTTTCCCGTAGACCTAAAAATTATGTCAAGTCCTGTTCAAAACGTATTAGTGAATAGTTGGGACTGTTTTATGAATATTGTTAAATTTCATAAAACACATTTACATAATTATAAATTTCACGCGTTGATTTGAATCCACTTTTTCCCTTCATTCTTAACTATCTCTACAAAATTAAGATGTTTTTTCCGCACTATATTGTATACTATCGTAGTATCTATTCTCGTTTATTCAGCGGTGTGAAAGAATGGTGGTGAAAGCCACTCTAACGAACGGAACAGTTTCGGATAGTGTTGCTATAACTGCACTCTTTAAAAGTATCTGGAATTTTCTTAGTGCTCTTTGAAGTAGTAAAAAAGACCTCCTCGTAACAACGAAAGCTTTTCAGTTCGACATGCTTCTTTTCAGGTGGCATAAAATGTTTGTTCAAATTTCTGTTATGGATTATTGCAGGTCGCAGGAAGCGTGCTCTCGATAGCCTGGAAGGTGATGGTTTCGGTGGCCTTTTCAAAAGGTCTCTAGACTCTCTCGAAGGCGAAGGCTTCGGATTTGACAAAAGGTCCCTGAACTCTTTAGAAGGGACTGGCTTTGGTTTCGACAAAAGGTCCCTGAACTCTTTAGAAGGGACTGGCTTCGGTTTCGATAAAAGGTCCCTGAACTCTTTAGAAGGGACTGGCTTTGGTTTCGATAAAAGATCTCTGAACTCAATAGAAGGAACAGGCTTCGGCTTTGACAAAAGGTCCCTGAACTCTTTAGAAGGGACTGGCTTTGGTTTCGATAAAAGATCTTTGAACTCAATAGAAGGAACGGGCTTTGGCTTTGACAAAAGATCTTTGAACTCAATAGAAGGAACGGGCTTCGGCTTCGACAGGAGACGCAGGTCTCTGGACTCAACAGAAGGAACGGGCTCGGGCTACAGAAGAGGCAAGAGGACATTACCCCAAATCACCGGCAGTAAGTCCAATTTTTCACATCTGATATATACATGTTGTTTTTTTCTGAAAGAACTCTGAAAAATGTCATTTCAGCCCATCCCTATCTAAGACTCTATAAAGGCAAGCAATCGCGAGGATACAAGGGCGACCGAAGCAACCCCAACGGTTCGAAAACATGTAAGTCCTAAGTTAGGCGCATACTCGATAGGAACTTTGGATCCATTTACACTTTCAATGTTGTTTGTTGCAATTTTGCCCACTGGTCAACCTGCTGCTAAAAGAATCGCCATCAACAATCAGCATAATGGTTTTGTGGCTGGCCAAAAAGCAGACAAAATATTGATCATTTCATTTCTGGACTAGGAATGAGTAACGAAATTAGTAGGGCACATTTCTCGTCTCACCCACTGCCATTGAAAGCTATGGGTCCTGATATCGGCCCAACTTTCACTTAATTAGCTGCCAAAAAATTCTCAGGAAGGTTTGACCCCCTGGGGTTGAGCGATTGCTCCACTGGCTCAGTTCAGTTGTCCTCAAACGCTCCAGACGTAAATCCTAGGTGGATCCTGAAATTCTCCGTCTGCCACGTGCGGTGCGTTGCGCCCTCATTGGCTACCCACTAATCGATCGAAGATGACGCGCGCCTAAGTGGCAGATTAACAGGACACCACATCCTGACCTCAAAGTACGTCCCTTCCTAGATTCACTAACAGAGGGGACGTCATCCTGACGTCCCCTCTGTTAGTGAATCTAGGAAGCTATACGTGGAACGATATACCTGAAGCAATTCCAGCCCTCAGCAGGAGTTTTCTCCGAAATACTGTCAAGGGATTCATTTCTTGAGCTGAGAAAGATATGTGGTCAAAGGAGATGAGGATTTAGTCGCAAATAATATCTAATGAATTGTATTCAGATCTTCACAACAACTAGTGTCCACGATCAAATACGTTCGGTTGCTGTCTAGACACTCATTTGTTCGTGGAATAGTTATTTCATGCATAAAGAGTGTTATTCGTTGTACTCTTCATCATTCATCCAACCATATTTCTACTTACTACTCGAAAAATGAGGAACAATGATAATGTTGGTCAAATTTCCATTCCATATCGAAACTAACATTTGTACGGTCAACAATTGTCCATAATGATGTCCTTTATTTGATAATAAAATTTTTCCAAAAAAACTAATCAACCCCGTTGGAGGGGAATTACGAAGCGGTGTCTAGCCACAAAATTTGTTTGTGTCATAAGCTATAAAATGTTATGACAAGCTACGAGTGACAGAGCTGTACTGAAAATGAATTGAGTATTTCAAAAAAGGTAATACATATACCAGCTGAGAATTTCGTAATTTTTAGGACAGTTTTACAAATATGATAAAACCAGAAGCTAGAAGCAGAAGGTGTTTAATGAAATAAATATCATGGCATTCACACTCCGACTCCTTGACCCATCAAACGCGCCTTGCCCAAACCTGACAGCCCCGCCTACTGACCCTGAGATCTCCCCGATCAGAGCTTTGTTGTAAGTAGAAGTATATATGCCCGTTACGGATATATACTCATAGATATATGTACATATTTTTAGTTTACATTTTTTACCTCAACTGTACTGGTACCCTACTGTACAATCCCAGCCAATGGTTCTAGTTATGGTAAACTGTTCACGCTGACCAACTTCTGCATTTGCTCAACACTTTTAAGTCAGGGCTTAATCCATCGAGTTATCGGAATACGCCTAGGTCTCTGTGAAGGTATGTATCACCCAAAGTTTCCAATCACTATTCATTCTTAGAGAATGTGCAAAAATTAACTACGACGAAGATGTTTTGCTGAAGCTCTCTACTCTCCAAATTGCAAAATTTTTATAGCGTTGTGTTCAGAAGAATTCTGGAATTGCTGGAATTTATTATGTCATATAAGTAATAGGCTAAAATGTTATAAAACCAGGAAAAAAACGAAAACACAAAACAACCGAATGACTTTTCGTGTAGACAGCACAGAGGCCATCATAGAGCATGTATCATTTATCCACCCTCCCGGGAATTCTTCTTAAGGGCACCAATGTGCAGGAAGCTTTCAGTTGATGTGACTAGTTAAAAATGAACCAGTACTCATCAGTACCAGTATTCAAGTAGCAGTAATTCAGCATGTCTTCAGACATGTAACTCATTTGGGTATTATAAGGTTACACAGTACTAGACGAGGAATAATCTGAGTTCATACCGATGAGTCCGACCGACTGCCTTCGTAGTTTGTTGCCCGCTTCCTGACCCTCACACTAGCTTTAAAGTTTCTATTGGAAAGTTTGAACATTCCTATGCAAGTTTTTAGGGTATCACTGGTGCTCCTCAGTCAAATCTTCGAGTATTTATTACTTTTCTTTAGCAGTAAAATTTATTTTCCTCTCTTCGGAACTTTGAGGGCAGGACATACTAATATACTTTTACTGCTGAATTTACAAGTTTCTTGGTGCACTATCCCACATGCTCCTATAAAATATCATCTGTGCTCAGTGCACTATCGAGGAACTCACTCGAACAGGTTTTCCAGAGTTACACTTGGCACTTGATGGTCAGTCATGAAGCTTTACTGAAAAGGAAACGATCAGTTTTCAAGAGTGTGAAGTCTGCATTGAACTGAGTGGACTGAATTACTTCCGTGCAGATTTTTCGTGAAGAAGTCTGACCTCCACGCTAGCAGCCGTGCTGGTATTCATTTGACGTCCCGAGGGATCCAATCCTAAACGCCCTGGTCATCGGTCATCACATCATCACATAACATGTTCGGCCCACCTGACCTTCGATTCCTTGGCATAAGCAACGCCGACCCTGATTTTCGTTCTTTGACGAACCTCGGTCGCCAGAATTCCCTTCTGCACTTGCCTGCACAGAAGATTTGCAGGAGAGCAACGTCCTGCCTCAGGGCGTTGAATAGCTCCATGTTCATCCTGCTTACAAGTCTGTGAGGGGTATGTCAACGCAGGAAAGAGCTTGGTCATTCATCATGCTGACTTCTGGACTTAAATACACACAGCTAGAGCACTCACACATGTTCGTTCCCTTAACCGTGAAGAAAGCATTAGGTACCAATCCGTTTCTCATAGACATCGTTCTCGTTGGGATCATTCTTGAGCTGAAATCCCTAAGCGCTGTCGAATTCCACCAGCATTCGTTCCGCCTGCTCGATATTCGGTGTTATAAGCACGATGCCGTCACCAAAGCGGAGGGAATGGAAGTAGCGGTCGTCGACCCTCACTACCGAGCCTTCCCATTCCATATGACGCATGATGATCTCGAGAGCGGCATTGAAAGGCTTGAACGAAATGGTATGCCCTGTTGAGCCCCTCTCTTCACGATGACAATGAATTCTTCATAAATAGAATGGCGAAATCTTGGTCGTTAAGTTATCGTAGAGCTCACGAAGCACCCTCATATAACAAGTAGAAACACCGCGTTTGCCCAAAGCTACAGTTAGTGCCTTTTCCTTTCACTACCTTTTCAGTTCATTACAGCTAGCCGGGGGTTCGCATTTTACTACTGTTTTCTGAGCCTGTAATTCTTAATTGGAAGGCACACTACCCTACAATATTCACCGCTGATGTCCTGAAGAAAGAACATGGCCATTACCACTGTCATTGTCTCTTGCCATTTAAAGGCCATTCAAAAAACATTTTACTTCAACATTTCCTCCAATGAGCTCATCATACTCGTTTAAATTTTAGTTCATCAAGAATTTCTACAAACTTTCAAGAAGTCAAACTCAGTAATTACGACTAAATGAGGGGATGTCAGAGCTCTGTTGATGAGATGAAAGGCCATATATTCACTTGAAGTAACGAAAGGGATCTAGTAGATCCCTGGATTGAATCTCACATCGCCTCATTCTCATTGGCAGCGCCGTGGGTAATTTACAATTACAACTTCCTATTCTTTTTCCGTGGTAGTAAATTTTTAGCGATAGTTCAACGGTTTCAGTCTAAACGGCAAAACGGGGACGAACGAGCGCCTGATGCAGTTAACTTGGAGTAAAACAGACATCTTCATTCACATGCCGTCCGCTAGAAGTGAACACAAACTCAAAATGTTAAGAACTCCTTTCTGTTCGAAAAATCAGTTGATCAGCTGAAGACTCTCTAGGCAAGGTAGTTTAGCCTTAATTTGCGAAAAAACAGCTCTCTACAAACAATTCCCATGGCTTATACAATTGTGAAGTAATGATTACTAAGCAATTTTATAATATAATGCAGAGTATTTCTTGAAGCGTGCTGAATCTAAATGGGCTCAACTGGCCAAATCAAAAAAAAAAACTATCGAATGCGGTAGCTCAGAGAGTATGAAACCGAGAAAAAACACCTGAGCTGTCTTAAACAGTTTCACCAAGAAAAGCAACCTTCGTGGGTTTTTTCCATTAAAGTGATATTCTGATTCGGAAGAAGACACAGCCCGAAATCTAAATAGAAAGTAGCCCTCACTCCTGGGAGTTAAAAAAAAACCCAAGTTTTATTGAGCCGAAAATATACTGAACAGTTCTACTAGGAAAGGAAGCTCCTTTATTTGGGGAGAAATTTCATCCCTTAAAAGTTTGAGAGCATTATGAACCACTTCTGAAAGATTTCTGTATATGAATGATCACCTGACGAATTAGAATTCTTCAAAATGACAAAAAACACTGTCTCTCACTAGAAAAGAGCGAGGGCGACTTCACTGCCTTGGTATAGCTTTTCTCAATGGAACAATTTGGCATAGTCGAATAGACCACGGCTCCCAAATTCAAATCTGAAGCCCCTGAAAAAATTTTTATTCTCTCACAATCACACTCCCTCCATAAGCATCCCATTCTATAGGCCCTAGAATTAATTTGTTTGTAAAAAAAGGTCAATTTCCCAAAACAGTTCTTTGAAACTTCAAAAACTTTCTTCTTCGGGGTCTCTGAAATGCTTTTGAACGCCTTGACTACCAGTTCCCCAAAATTGCCGGCGGAATCCATGTCTGTAGCTTTGCTGGAATTCATAAACATTCATATTAAGAAAATTAAGTGCTTCTCAACGTCCACTTGGTTATCTCTTTTGTCAATGGTACTTCATTGAAAATGCATCAGCACTAACACCCAAATGACAACATTGGCAATTCTTCCAATGTACTATGCATATAACATGAAATGATAGATGACTTTGAAAGGTAAATCACGTGCTCTGGGAGACAGAAATGAGGGAAAGAGTGGGTGACTTTACTTAACCTTTTCGGTTTCGGCCCTCTTTACAGAGGGATATTAGTAATAGTATAGAAAAAGGGACACGTTGGATTTGGCCTGCCAATATTTCCATACTCTCGAGGTTGAAACACCGGAGCATATGGAACAGTACGTGGTGCACATAAAGCACCCATGAACAAAGGCTATAACTCAGTGTGTATTTTCGCAGCTCACAGTCTGACTGAATTCCGAAAATCCATCAAAATCATTAAAGTAAAATCCATTTTAGTGGGAAGCCCGAGTTAGCAAAAGGGTTCTAGACTGTTTAACAATGTTGCAAGTACCTTCAAAGATTATTACCCTCCAGTGCAACAGTAAGGACACTGAAAATTAGTAGTGAGTAGTTTTAACGAAAGGTGATACATCTGTACGCCACCGCAAATATGAGAAAAGATAACTTCCTTCAAAACCAGCAGCAGGATGCAGCGACGTGGATTGTATTCTTATAGAGTAAAGTAGCACTACGGGGGTACCGATAGGTCCGGACGCGGCAACTTGTTGACTTTCTTCTAGCTGTGAACTACTATAAGTTCACGCCGTAGCTTAATGGTATAGTGTAATCTAACGAAATGCTCCTTTAGAAAAAAAGAGA